TGCTTGGAATTGAACTCAGGTCCTCTAGAAGAGCGGCGGTGGGTGCTCTTAACCACTGAGCCATTTCTCCAGCCCAAGATTTGTTTTTCTGTAGACAGGGTCTCACTCTGTAGCTCAGCTCTGCTTAGAAGTCCCTGTGTGGCCAAGGCTGATCTTAAACCCCAAATTCGTTTATCTCGGTTCCCTGAAGACTGGGATTACAAGCATTAGCTTCCACGTCCCTCTGTTTTGAAACAGACTTTTTCCTATATATCCCAGCTGGCCTCAAACTCCCCCCTGCCTCTGCCTCCAAGAGGCTGCACCCTCTAGCTTCTAACCCTTTCTGGAAACTCCTTGTATCAGCTGGGGCTCACAGGTAGTTCAGAAGCACAGCTTTTTCTACCCTTCCCTAGGTAAATCTTCTCAGAGAAAGGATGGAGGGGTGTGAAGGACTTTTTGTCTTTTCATTTTTAGTTTTGTTTTTTATTTTTTGGTTTTTTGAGACAGGCTTCTCTATGTAACTTTGGAGCCTGTCCAGGAAATCACTCTGTAGACCAGGCTGGCCTCGAACTCAGAGATCTGCCTGCCTCTCCACCCAAGTGCTGGGATTAAAGGCGTGTGCCACTACTGCCAGACAGGGCTTTTTGTTTTTGTTTTTGTTTTTTTTTTAGCTCACTAATTTCCAAGGACTCTAGTAATTTTCATTTTTTTCTTAGATTTGTAGAATTTCATTTTTCTTTTGTTCATCTGTTTGTTTTTTGTCGTTTGTGTTTGTTTTTCGAGGCAGAGTTTCTCTGTGTATCCCTGCCTGTCCTGGAACTCGCTCTTGTAGACTAGGTTGGTCTCAAACTCAGATCCACCTGCCTCTGACTCCTTCAGTGCTGGGATTAAAGGCTGGGCCACCAACACCCAGCTAGGTATGCAGAATTTTAAATCTCAAGAAATATTCAGCTTCCTTTTTTTTTCTTCAGTGGGAAGAAGAGGAGGAGGAGTAGGACGGAGAGGAGGAGGAAGAGGAGGAGGAGGAGGGAGAGGAGGAGGAAAGGAAAACCCACCCACATGTAACAGGAAGTAAACACACATGTCGGACACTGTTGAAAGCCGTTTGCCTCGGCTGGGTGTGGTGCCTCGTGACTACAATCCCAGTGCTCTGTAGGTTTGAGGCAGGAGGATGCAAGCAAACTCAAAGCCAGCCTGTCATGCACAGCAAGTTCCCAGGCCATGCTGGCCTAGAGGGTGACACCCTGTCTCTAGAAAACAAACAAAGCAATTCAATCTTATAAAAATCACGGAAACTCGAATCCCTTCAGCTTTCTGCAGTCCCTGTGGAACATGGGACGTTCTGTTTGGCCTAGGGGTGTAGCTCAGTGGGTAGTAGAGCATATGCTAACATGCCAGAGGGCCTTGCAAAACAGAATCAAAGGAAACGCTACAGACACAGAACTTCTCAACATGTGATGTTTTCATTTTTGTAGGTCTATAATAGAGACACACATATATTCGTGTTTATATACGCTTACATATAAACACATATGTACACACATATATGTACTTTAACGCATACACATATGTACATAAACATATATACAAGAACATACACAATGCATATGACATTGGTATGTTTAAGTAGACATAAGCAGACAGGGAAGTTACTAAGAAAGCTGACCTTAAGTCTGAGACACTGAAAGCACCACGGTTTTGAGTGGGAAACCATACAATTTTGTTTATTTCAGCTCTTTAATTATGTAAGAAGATCTTTGGGTCCTGAAGAAGCTGTTTGGTTTGCCCAGGATCTTTGAGACTCCCCCTCTGGACATGCTGTATAATTTTGTACTTAACCTCAAGGGCTTCTGTGCCTTTATCGCTCAGACAGGCTCCCCGGGAGCCGGGATCCCAAAAGCAGTGAAATGCACAAGCTTTGAAAGGGTGAGGTTGGGAGCAAAGAAAAAGAATGTTTAGGAGTGCAACTGGCTGCTGGAGACTCGAACTTGTGACCAGGGATCAGTGTGTTTGGGCCCTGAACAGTTTCTAAGTGTCTTTCACTAAAAGGGTAAGAAATAGGAGGTGGAACTTCCTTCCTTATGGGCTCTGAACATATTTCACCAGCCCCCAATCTCAGGAGAATCCAACTTGAACCGCTTCCTTCCGTCCGAATGGTGGCAGACACTACCCCATCCCCAACGGCCCTATCATGCTTCCTGCCTCCTCCAGGCTCCTCCAGCCTCCTCGGCTCCAGTTTACATAGTTTTGGGCTTTGCCAGAGTGCGGCTGTTGTACTTTTTGGATTCCCCTTCCCCCAACACTTATCATTTCAGGCTGTGCTTGCATTAATAACTTATCCAGTGAGGGTTATTAAAATTGACTACCGTCTCCGAAGAAAGGGTAGTTTGTCAAACCTACGTCCTAAGACTAATTGGATACATTTTGCATGAATTGTGATTAATGCAGGGTAATTTCGGAGGATGGCTTCTGCTAATTAATAACTCAGTCACATTTGACTCCTCTTGGTAGAGCAAACTTTACAAGTGCATTGCGAACTTGCTCAGCACAGGGTCGTTGTGTCCTCCCCCCCCACACACACACACAGGTCAGTGTTTTGAGGTGGTTCTTAGGGGAGCTGACAGCTTGAGCAATATTTTTATTCAGGAACAGTTGCTTAAAGTGGGTCCTCTAAAAATAATAATAATAAAAACAAGCCCAGGAAGGGAAACTGTAGAACAGCCTGGCATTCCAACACCCTTTCATAGCTTGGTTGATTTAACATTTATGACGAAAGGCCTGGTCTCAGAAAGGCTTGGGAAAGGTCAGCTAGAAGCTTCACGCTGTCAACAGAACCAAGGGGACAGAAGAAAGCTACAGATCATTTGAGACAAAAAAGACTACAAAAAGATCCAAGGGCTGGCAGGATGGCTCAGAAGGGAAAGGTGTTTGATGTGACAACCTGAGTTCGGTCCTCAGGACCCACATGGCAGAGGAGACAACTGGCTCCTGCAGGCTGGCCTCGGACCTCCCCACATACACAGTGACACACGAGTGTTCTCACACCTACACACTACTACTAAAGAAAAACTCAGAGCAAAATAATACTGCTCTGCGAGGTTACACGTCGCATCGGAGCCCTAGGATGCTTCTAAAGCCAATGCAGATGAACCTGTCCTTCCCTCAACCAAATTTTAGTGAGGCGGAAAGGCACCGCAGTCACAGCTGCTGGAAGGGACCATGGCCTGTGCAGGCCGGAAGAGACACAGAAAACAGCTGTCACTCAAAACATCTTGCCCCTCTCTACCTAAGCAGTGGGGAAGTCTGACTCAGGCATCCACACACTTATAAACCGCCAGGACCAAAACAACAGAAAAGCAAAGCTCGGCGACCACTTTGCTACGCCGCTGACAGACTAATTAATTACACACAGACTAGTTTAAAGAAGGAGTATTTTCTATTTCCTGCTTCCAGGATTGGGAAAGCTTCTTCAGGGAGGAACAGGTTTGTAATGAATATCCAAAATACAAAAGAGGGTGGAGCCTGGAGCCCGACCCTCCCAGGGCTTTCTAATCTCGGGCAACAATTGAAGAAGAACAATCCTCCCTTTGAGAATGTACAGTGATGTCAGGCCCAGGACCTTGTCCACAAATTCCTTCCATACTTCAGAAGGATCCCAGTTAAAATATGACCAGGAGATAGATGTGCACGTGCTTTCTGTGGAAGGGGGTGAGGCAGGAATGAAGGGAAAATAGCTACATAAAGGTGAGGAGGGAGAAGAAGGACCAGAAACTCAGCAGGACCCTGAGCCCCAAGCTGCTCTCTCATTTTCCCTTTGTAATAATCATGGCCATTCAGGTATGGGGTTTAGTTAAGTCAGTTTGGTAGGGGGATGGCGAAGAGGGAGAAAAAAGAAAAAGTAAAAAATAAAATGTTTAAAAGAGCCTGTAGAAGTTACATTGGTTTTGTTACATTTAATTTTTTATTTATATATGTACTTATTTAATTAACTTAACGAGAATCAGATTTCTTCTTTCTTTCTTTCTTTTTTTTTTTTTTTTTTTTTTGTTCTTTGAGACAGGATCTCACTATGTAAGTCCAGGCTGTCCTGGAATTTACTACATAGACAGGGCTGTCCTTGAACTGCCTAATGGGTCACAGCACCACCCTGTCCAGCGTACATACACATAGTTAAACACAGATATTAAAGGAACTGGAGAGATGACTCAGAACTTTTTGTTTGTTTGTTTGTTTTTCGAGACAGGGTTTCTCTGTACCTTTGAAGCCTGTCCTGAAACTAACTCTCGGAGACCAGGCTGGCTTTGAACTCACAGAGATCTGCCTGCCTGTGTCTCCCGAGTGCTGGGATTAAAGGCGTGCACCTCTACCACCCTGCCCTGCTTTTATTTTTAAACTCTATATTTTTTCTGAAGAGGATGGTTAATACATACCACACTGAACAAAAAGGTAAAAAGTAGGCTCTTTGGTTTTGTGTTCGAGACAGATGTCTTTAGGTAGCCCTGGCTGGCATATAACTTACTATATAGACCAGCCTGGCTTTGAACTCACTGAGACTCCTCTGTCTCTGCCTCCTGTGTACAGGAATTAAAGGCGTGCACCACCACACCCAGTCCCCTCTTTTTCTTTTTAAAATTACATTTATTGATTGATTGCATGTGTACGTGTGTGTAAGCAGGTGTGGAAGTCAGCGGACAGTTTATAGGAGTCGCCTTCCACCCTATGGGATCCAGGGTTCGAACTCCGAGCATCAGGCTTGACAGCTCGCTCCAAGACATCTCACAGCCTCTGTCACTGTTTTTATTCTTGCCAGCAATCTTTTTCATTGGACTTTTCAACAACCAGCGATTGCTTTTCTCGGTCAAAAGTACTGGCTGGTTATGTCACAACCTTCAGATTGTAAGTTGATAATACCTTTCCTCCTATTTATAGCTCTATATAATGGGCATATCTCTATGGCTTGGACGCCTACCAAACAGAACACCCGTTGGGGTACGGGGGAGGGGATAAGGGAGGAGCAAAGTGAGTGAGGGGAGGGGTAGAGGTGGAGAGAGGGAAAGAACATTACTAGCAAGAAGTGACTTTACAGGCGCCTTTTTGTTTACACGAAGAACATATTCAGGGCTGACCCGAAAAATTAAAAATACTTAGAAACGCCTCCAGGTTCCGTGAGTGCTCTCCGCTCGCCGTCCTCACCTCGGGGGTCCAGGGAACAAGACCCCGGGTTGCGGAGGAGGATGGAGTCTAAGGATGCATACGGACGCCTCAGGGCGAAACGCAAAGGCTAGGTTGGACTGTCAGATTCTTGTTCGTTCTCTGTACCTTTTGACCACCCCCCGCCCCGGCCCCGCCCTCGAATTTTCCCCGAGTGTGCAAGGCTGTCAAGCTGCAACACGCAGCCGCAGTGCGTTGTGCAAACCGTGTGGCGGGAGGGGATGGGCTGGGAGAGAGTGTGTAGTGAAGGAGGTGGGGGAGGGAGGCACCACGTGATTTTCTGGAACGCAGCCTCCTGGCTTCTTTATTTCGATATGGCAGTAAACTAATTTCCTCTCCAGAACAAGTTGGGTGAATGGAGGAATTGAGTCGCGTTCCTCTGGAAAGGCTTGCCTTTGAGTGTCCGGAAGGAATCTGCGTTTGCTTGCCTTCCTCGCACTGAAGAATCGCACCCGGTTCAAATCCAATGGTTTGTTTCTTTCTCTATCTGAGAGCCGCTTTCTAGGCGGGTTTCCCTTTCGAAAGAAAGGTTAAAAGTTGTTGTTGGTTTTTTTTCCCCTGCAAAGCATTTCTGAATGATGTAGGGACCAGAGAGCGTGAAAAGTCACTTTGACATACTCTGTCCCTCAGTGGAGTGACAGCCAGACCTCAGTGGAATCCCAGAATCCAGAGGTGGTGCAGGAGTTACTGAGTTCTCAGTCATCCTGAACTACATAACAGACTTTGAAGCCAGCCTGGGCAATACGAGACCCCACCATAAACAAGACAATGTTCAACAGTTTAGAACGGAGGTAATGTAGTACTTGATGTCCAATGCACTTCCCCTCTCAAGCTCATTCATAGAAATAAAGTCGCTTTAAAAACGGATGATAACCAGCCTTTGTTTGTTTGTTTGTTGTTTATGTTTTTTTCTTGGTTTTTCGAGAGTCCTGGCTGTCTTGAAACTAGCTCTGAAGACCAGGCTGGCCTCGAATTTACAGAGATCCTCCTGCCTCTGTTGGGCTTAAAGGTGTGTGCGGCCACGTTCTTTTCCTGACTTCTACACAGCCAGCTGTGGTGGGCCTATGCCTGTCATCCCAGAGGCAGAGCTAGGAGAATAGTGAGTTCAAGACCAGCCTGAGTTATACAGCAAGCTCCTGTCTGAAGGACAAACTAGCCAAGGGCGGGGGTGGGTGGGGGGTGGGAGTGGTAGCCTGGCTGGTAGGGTTCTTGCCTAATGTGCAAGAATTCAGGAGGAGATGGGAGTCAATCCTAGCCCTTGGGAAGGAGAGGCAGGAGGATCAGAAGTCCAAGGTCATCCCTCTGCTACACAGTGAGTTCGGCGGGCGGCCCTTTAAGACCTATCTTGACAAATAAGTAAATCCATTTGTATTGCATTCATATACACAGCCCTGCAGGCCTGTGGTGGTGGTGTGGTGTTTTCTCTGATATGACTGGCCAGGATACTCTGGTTCATGGAATGTCATATTAATTCCATTTTGCAACAGGGATGTAGGCTGCGGTGGGTTGTGTACCCAACCCACAGTGACTCAAAACACCAACTACTCAGGTTCCTCAGTGTTCACTGTGGCATTTGACCGCATCCTCAGCTTGTCTCAGAAGCTCCAGAATGATTGCTGCGGAGGCTTCTCGGGTACAGTCGAGGTTACTACACCTCAAACTGCGCTAGGTTCGTTCTCAGCATTCCAAGGCATAATTTTCTATTCCAAAAGTTTAGCGTGACTCACGGAGGCCGAGCTCTCCCCTTCCTCACAGGTTTTATTGTTCTGTTAGATCTTTTTGATTTTTCTGGTGACGCCGAAGATGGGCTTCTTTCTTGGTTTGGGATGTCTTATTAGATCAAGATCAGGGATGGTATGGTCGAACGGAGTCCTGTGGAAATGATATATCTGGATGAGCGGACAAGGAATGCCATCTTGTGTGTCATATTCGTTCATAAGAGAGGTGGGTGAAAGGGGGCAGTTTGGTGGTCTTAAATTATTAATTTACTTCTAAAATGTACTTTATTTCTATTTATATGCATCTGTTTATGTGCCAGAGCACATCTGTGTCTCAGCAGATGTGGGAAGACTGTGGGGGGCCTGTGGACTAGAATTACTGAGGTCGAGATTATCTTTCTATTAAATTTTCATTTATTTTGTGTGTGTGTGTGTGTGTGTGTGCGCGTGTGTGTGTGTGTGCGCGCGTGTGTGTGTGCTAGTTTGTGTGGGGGTCAGAGGACAATGTGTGATTCTCTCTTCCCACCAAGTGGGTCCTAGGGGCTGGACTCAGTTCGTTAGGCTTGGCTGCAAGCCCCCTTAGGAGCTGAGCCATCTAACTGGACCTCAGTACTTTTTTTTTTCTTTTTGGTCTTTGGTGCATGTGATGTGTGTTTGAGGCCTATGCATCACAGTGCACATGCGGATGTCAGAGGACAATTTTCTCCATTTGATTCTCTTCTTCCAGGGATCAAACTCGCCTGCTGTGCAGGTGCCCTGTGGGAAATTTTCCTCACACATGGGATCTGGGGGACATCAGAGAATTGGCTGTCCCTCCGTCTCTGCTTTTGCCCTTTGGCATTCTGGCTCCTGTCTGCGATGGACTTGTTTGCCTCAGAAGGTGCTTCACACATTTCCAGAGGACATCTGAGTTCCTATGGCAACTTGCAGTCATTTCTGTTGAGGGTCTCCTTGTTCTAGTGTGGTGATATGATATTGACTTGGTGCTCTCCTTCTATGTGTGTGTCCTTCTATGTGTGTGTGTGTGTGTGTGTGAGAGAGAGAGAGAGAGAGAGAGAGAGAGAGTCAAGTGGAGATCAGAGCACCACTTGGGGGAGTCAGTTCTCTCTTTCCACCATGTGGGACCTGGGGATTGAGTTCTGTTCTAGAGAATGGAAGTCCATGGCATTACAGGATGTGCCATCTCACCATGTTAGTGCTGCCTGACGCTTTGGCCTTAAAGGTCTGCCCCCGCCCCCATGAGGGAAGGATTTCCATCTTCACTCCTGTGTTTGGGACCACATTGGAAATAGCCACTGCACACTGTAGCCCCAGCACTCAGGAGGGAGAGGTGGAGGGCCAGCAGTTCTAGGCCATCTTCAGCTTCATAGAGGGCTGGAGACTCACCTGGGCTCCCGGAGATCCTGTTTGAAAAGCAAACAAGCAAGCAAGTAACAAACCAACCAACCAACCAACCAGAAACCCTAAAAAAATGCAAGTAAGGGGCTGGAGAGCTGACTTAGCAGTCAGGAGTTCTTCCTACTTTTGCAGAGGACCCAGGTTCGGTTCCCAGCACCCGCAGTGAGCTGCCCTCACAACTGTCTATAACTCCAGTTGCATAGGATCCAGTGCCCTTTTCTGGACTTCATGGGTTAGGAACACGAATGGGGCATGTACACATGTAATATTCATAGAATAAAATAACTAGTCAATCTCCCCGCCCCCCACCCTGCCAGACAGAGTTTCTCTGTGTTACAGCCCTGGCTGTCCTGGAACTTGCTCTCTAGACCTGGCTGACTTCAAACTCACAGAAATCTGCCTTCCTCTGCTTCCTGGGTTCTGGGTTTAAAGACGTTTGCCACCACCAGTCATAATAGCAATTTTAAAATTTCTTATTGAGGGCCTAGTAAGATAAAGGTAAATTTGCCTCACAAGCCTGATAATCCTTGGAACTCACTGAAAAGGGAGAAGACAACGGAGGCACACATGGGTCTCTCAGTCCCACATCTGGGCTGTGGCACATTTATAGACATTGTTTTGCTTTGTTGTTTTTGTTTTTTTTTTTTTTTAAAAAAAAAGACTTGGTGAATGAATGACGCAGCCTGTATCACCTGCTTTCCTTGCAGTCACGATGCAGGGAGAAACTGAGACAGCTAAATAATTCAGGGTCAAGATCAGTTTCTTGGATGCTGTGTATTTGTGGGACAGCAGTTTGACTGCATTTATCACTGTCCTTAAGAACCTTTGGAGAGTGTTTTGCCTCAGGCATCCTGGAGTATGGCATGAAGTTGGTGCCTCTCCAAAGTCCAAAACAATGTCTGCTTTATCCATCTAAGTTCTTGGGTAATTCCTTGAAAAGCAGGGGCAGGCATTGTTTACTGTTATGAACTGCTCAAACAACATTTTCGAGTCTTTCTCTGGTCTGGAGTGTATGACTTAGCAGTGAGCAGCTTGCCTAGCATGGGTGAGGCCCTGGCTTGGATCCCGTGTACTGTAAGACATAAAAATACAGGTGTTTTCTTGAAGCAGAGTCAGGGGTAATGACAAAGAACTGATCTGTGTTCTTAGGTTGAACATAAAGCTGCACTGAGCCAGGCAGGCATGGTGGCACACGTCTGGGAGCTTCGTGCTCAGAAGCTGGAAGCTAGGGGGGTCAAGAGTTGGCTACCTGAGACCTTCTCTCAAAAACCAAAATGGACCAAACAAAACAACTGGGCTCACTGTCTAACTTCTGAGGGCCGGCAGTGGCGGTGCCAAGAGCATAGGATGAACAGATGTGACGAGCGTGCGTGTGGGCTGTTGGAGGAAGTGGACATGCCCCCGTGTTGGCGCAGGGTGCTGTTCACACCAAAGGCCTTGGCTCACTGTGGTGGGCTGTTGTAAACCAGGCTCTGGTGCCCTCCACCTGGGAGACTGAGGTCCAGTGGAGCACAGAGAGCCACGCCATGAAGTAGGGCATGACGATAGCTGCCGGGGGAGCCTTTGCTCTCCGCCTCCCCTGAACTACCTTCCTCCCAGCTTTTCAGGCTTAGTGTCTGAGCCATGAGTCAGAGGACCTCGTTCTAATCCTTGTCTTCTGCTCACTACTGTGTGACTCTGAACAACTTGTTGCCTACTCTGGACTCCCACTTTCTCAGCTGTATAATGAACAAGCTTGTAGGGCTTTAGGGCTTTAGTTCTTATAATTTTTTTTTTAACTTTATGTGTATGAGCGTTTTGCCTGCATGTGTATACGTGCGCCTGCTGCTCAGGGAGGCCAGAAGAAAGTGTTGTATTCCCTGCAGATGGAGTTATCGAGCCTGGGCCCTCTGTAAGAGCAAGGAATGCTTTTCGGACATTTTGTTTTGTTTTGTTTTTCGAGCCAGGGTTTCTCTGTGTAGCTTTGGAGCCTGTCCTGGAACTTGCTCTGTAGACCAGGCTGGCCTCAAACTCACAGAGATCTGCCAGACTCTGCTTCCTGAGTGCTGGGGTTAAAAGGCGTGCACCACCATCACCCAGCTGCAACAAGTATTCGGAACCACTGAGCCATCCTACATCTTTGTGTGTATGGGTGTGTCTGTGTGTGGGCACGTGCACTTGAGTGCGGTACCCTCAGAGGCCAGAAGAGGACGGGAGATCTCTTGGACTTACCTCTGTCTGATTTCCTTAGGCCAGAGCCTCAAGGACCTGGAGCTAGGCTGGTGGTCCTCGCAGCAACACTCCTCACCACCCTGGGTCATAGGTGCAAAAGCCACATCTGACTATTTAGCATGGTTCTGGGGATTTGAACTGAGGTCCTCACGCTTGCATTTTTTTTTTATTCCCTGAAACATCTCAGTTTGTTTTTTGGCTTTTTGGCTAGGGTTTAGCCATGTAGGGCAGGCTGGCCTCAATCTTGTGCCTCCAGAGTGCTAGGATGACAGACAAGTGTCACCACACCCCTCCTGCTCCGGGGTTGTTTTAATCAAGTTTAATCAAGATTACCATCACCATAAGAATAGTGATGTTTGTATAGCACTGATTATTACAGGTTCTGGACTTTGACCCAAACTCACAGGTCAAAATCTAATCTCCTGTGTGCTGGTGTTGGTAGGTAGGGCCTTTGGGAGGCAGTAGGTCATAGGAGTGGGGTCTCCTGAAAGGGTCTGAAAATGCACTCTTATAAGACAGACTGTCATGTTGACCCCTGCCTGCAATCCCAGCATTTGGGGAGGTAGAGGCAGAAGCACCAGGAATTCAACACCATACTTGGCTACATAGTGTGTTTGAGGCCAGCCTGGGCTACGGAAGATTCTATCTCAAGAAGACAATGAAGGAGAGGAGGAGGAGGCCAAGAGAACTCATTTGCTTTTTTTTTTTTTTTTTTTTCTAGCCAGTGGAGATACAAGATGTCAGCTGGCTGCAGCTGGAAAAGGATTCTCGAAGATGTTCCCACGCTGGCCTTGTGTTTTCACCCTCCCTGGTGGGAAGAAACAGGTGCATGTTAGTAGAGGCCCCGGGCTATGGTAAGACATCAGTTTGAGCCAAGTTAGGGCGTTTTAGGTCTCAGGTATTCCCCACTTCAGCTGTCACTTCCAGAATCTATCAGGTAGGTGAGTTCAGTCTGGAGATAGACCCTTCCCGATGTTCACGTGGAAAGATGGCGTGCACCCCTGCACACCTCCCATCTCCTCTTTCTCTTCTTCCTCTTTCCCCTCTCCCCTCAGTCCATCCCTGCCTTTCCCTTTATGCAGCACTCTGTCCGCACTCCTGTCTAGGACACAGTGGGAAAAGAATAAAAGAACAGCTATGGATTAGTAGGAATATAAAAATATATTTAAAGGGTCAGAGAGACGGCTCAGTCAGTAGTTAGGAGTACCGGAAGCTCTTGGAGAGGACCCAGCTTGGGTTCCCGGCACCCACATGGCATCATACACAAGTTCCAGGGGATCTGACATTTCTGGCCTCTGTTGGCATCAGGCACACATGTGGTTCACATACAAACATTCAGGCAAAACATTCATACACATAAAAATAAAACTTACTGACAAATTACTATGTTTCTTTCTTTGTGTTTGTGAGGGGGGCATGTGCTCCACAGCACATGTGTGGAGGCCTGAGGTCAGCTTGTAGGAGTCGGCCGCCTCCTTCCACCGCGTCGGTTCCAGGGAAAGGAGCCAGTTCAGGTCACCAGGCTCGGCTGCAAGCGTCTTTACCTGCTGAGCTATTTTGCAGGCCCTCAATCATTTTCCTACTCATTCTGGTGGTTATATGTAGATGTGGCTTCAGGTGTGCGTCTCCCAGGACTGAGGACCTGATAAGTAGCTCAAGCCAGGGAGAAAGAAGAAAAAGGATGTTTTGTACTGCACTGTAGAGCCACCAGCGAGTGGCTGGCACAGACAGCACACCCTAAGTGAGAGGAAACCTCAGCCGGGCTTTGTACTGCACTGTAGAGCCACCAGCGAGTGGCTGGCATAGACAGCACACCCTAAGTAAGTGAGAGGAAACCTCAGCCGGGGCTGCCACTTGGTGTGAGTCAATGCGGTAAGGGAGCTGAGAAAGTTGTAATTCAATTCTTTTTCTTCCCCCCTTCATTTTTAGAGACTGACTTTCTCTGTGTAGCCTTGGCTGTCTTGGCACGTGGCACTCACTCTGTAGACCAGGTTAGTCTCCAACTCACAGAGATCCGCCTACCTCTGCCTCCTGAGTGCTGGGATTAAAGGTGTGCGCCACCACGCCTGGCTCTAATAATTAATTATAAGAATAAGTATACTAACAAATCTTATTAATAGATTTTTTTTCCAGTCTCACTGTGCATTCAAGTTGTTTCTGGGCTTCATGAGGCTTTAGTTTAAAACAGAGTTCAACTTTAAAGGAAAACACAAAGAAAATGAAAATCACCCGTGGGTCTGTCTCCTAGAATATGTCTCCACATCTTAGTGAATGTCACGCCACACTTCCCAAATATGTTTCTTTAATTCTTCCTCTCTTTTCTTTGACTTGGTTGGGGATACGTAGCTAGTTAGTAGAGTACACACAGCCAGTTTTAGGCCAGCCTGGTCCACATAGTGAGACCCTGGTTTTTTTTAAAAATAATTAATAGATCTTTAAGTTTTATGTCATGGTAGCATACACCTTTTTAAAAAATTAATTAATTGGTTAATTTTTATGTGCATTGGTGTTTTTGTCATGGGTGTCGGGTCCCCTGAAACTGGAGCCACAGACAGGTGTGAGCTGCCATGTGGGTGCTAGGGACTGAACTCGGGGCCTCTGGAAAAACAGTCAGTGTTCTTAATCCTTGAGCCATCTCTCCGGCCTCATAGCATGCACCTTTAATCTTCAACTGGGGGCAGAGGAAGTCAGGCCTCTATGTGTTTGAGGTTAGCCTGGTCTACATAGTGAGTTCCAGGACAGCCAAGGCTATCCAGTGAAACCTTGTCTCAAAATAGCGCCTCCCAATTTAAAAAACATTACATTTATTTCTTTATATGTATGGGTTTTTTTTACCTGCATGCAAGCTTGCACACCATGTGTGTGTCTGGTGCCCAGGATGGCCTGAAGAGTGTATCGCATCCTCTAGAACTGGAGTCACAGGTTGCTATGAATGGGAGCTGGGAACCAAGTCCAGGTTCTTTGCGAGGGCAGCCATTACCTCTAACCATGGAGCCATCTCTCCAGTACTTACAAAGTCTTATTAATGGGGTGGCGAGGTGGCCAAGCCTCATGACCAGAGTTTGATGACCAGGACAACACCAATCCCTCGTGTTGCCTTCTGACCTCCACAAGCAGGGCAAGGCATGTGCACACTGCCCCCCCATAACTTTTCCCCCCACATTTGTATACGTGTGCATGTGTGTGCGTGCTCCACAGCACATATGGGGAGGTTAGAGGGTAACTTGGTGGAGTCCATTTCTTCCTTCCACCTAGATAGGGCTTCCAAGGTCTGAACTCGGGTCCAGAAGCTTGGGTGATAAGTACGAAGCAGCTGGACCGCCATTTCACACTTCACTTACAAACACAATCATTACCTGCCGAACTGTGTGCTTCCGTACAGACCCTTCTTCTGTGCTAACCGACATGGCTCAACATGATCTTTGCAAGTGGCTGTAGAGTCCTGGTAGATGGGGCTTAGTTTATGTGAACTTTTGACTGGCTTTGAGGGACAGCCGGGTTGTGTGCGGTTGGCATTCCCACTTGTGCTCCGTGCCAGCATCCTGTGTGCTTAGGTCCTCACAACTGAGAGACGTTTTTGTAAGGTAAATCCCAAACAGTAAGGTAGATATGCTAAGGTGCACCCCTATCCTAGCCAGGTATGCTGGCACACCCCTCTAATTCCAGCACCTGGGAGACAGAGGGAGGAGGATCAGGAGTTCAGATTACACAGTGAGTTAGGGGCCAGGCTGGGCTAATGAGACTGTCTCGACATAAAACAGCAAGAGGAGGGAGCACGGAGACAGGGGAATGCTTGCTGGAATATAGCAAGATTCAAGTTCAGTTCCCAGCACCTACCTCAGGTGGCTCACAACCACTTGTAATTCTAGCTCCAACTGGCACTGCATGTACATGTACACAGACACATGCATACACACACATACACACATACATATATGTGTGCATGCCCACGTATACCCCCCCTCCAGGTATATCTAATTAAAAACTAAAAAGTTTTAAAAGGGAACTCTTAAAAAAGATTTTTGGTTAAAAAAAAAAAAAGACTTTAAAATTGGCTGTTCTGGAATTCACTCTGTAGACCAGGCTGGTTTCCAACTCAGAGATCCTCCTGAGTGTTGCGATTAAGGGTGTGTATTACCACTACCCGGCTAAAAGTGCTTTTTTAAAAAAAGACGAAAGCAACATTTACCTTTCTCCTACTTGGTTCTGTCACTTTCTGGACAAGGAGACTGAAGTATCTTTGCTCTGCATGGGAATACTTTTATTTACTCAGCTATTGGTTTTGAGACTGTCTCCTGAAACTAGGGCTAGCCTACAACTCCCTCTGCAGCTGGGGCGGGACTTGATCTCCTGACCTTCCTTCCTTCCTTCCTCTGGTGGAGTAGTGCTGGGGACAGAACCCAGGCCTCTTGCATACAAGGCCGTCTTGTGCCTGCTGGGCTACACTCCCCCAGCGCTTCCCTCACCGCTCAGGAAGAAGAGTGTCCCCTGCAGTGATGGCTTAGTTTTCCCGCTTTGTCCACGTTACCCTCGAAGAGAGATGTAGATCCGAATTTCAAGGCATTGAACCGAGTTCGGTGTGACCTGTGACCTGGGGGTAAAATCTGGCTTCAGCACTAGCGCAGAGACACATGAGCAGAAGCCTTCTTTTCCAGCTCTTTGGACATCCTTCATGAGTCTCTCCATGTAGAGTCCAGGAGATTTAAGATTTAATCGTGTGATGCATAAGGAACTGCCTGCTCCTTCAGTAGAGGATAGTGCCTTCCAAAGTTTTCCTAATTCTTTTAAGTTCCTGTATTTCTTTCTTTTTTTTTCTTTTCTTTTTTGTTTTGTTTTGTTTTTGTTTTTTTGAGACAGCATTTCTCTGGGTAACAGCCCTAGCAGTCCTGGAACTAGCTCTTTTAGTCCAGGTTGGCCTCGAACACACAAAGATTCACCAGCCTCTGTCTCCCAAGTGCTGGGATTAAAGGCCTGCACCACTACCACCTGGCTCAAATTCCTGTATTTCTTAACAAGGCCAAATGAATGGGGTTCAGAGCTGTGTTCTGCACAGACAAGAGCAAGCTAGACAGCCCTGATTCTCAGGAGGCAGTAGACATTCAGTTCAAGCAAATAAGAAAAAACAGTTGCTAGGCGTGGTGGCTCATTCATGCTTTTAATCTCAGTCAGGTTACCCAATGAGACTCCATCTGAGAGAGAGAGAGAGAGAGGGAGGGAGGGAGAGAGGGAGG